GGGAGGTACTGAAGAAAATGTTTGCAATATTTAAAACTGATGCCATGAGTAACTAGAATAAAGTAACAAATCTCTAAGCATCAGCAAGAGAGACAAAACACTGAACAGAAAACACAAAACGGTGCGCTGTGGAAGAAGGTGAAGCCAGAGTGGCTAACGAGCATAAGAGGAGATGCCAGCCTCACTGATAACATCCCTGGTGGCTGGCTGTGGCCGCAGAGGAACCTGGATAGTCAGATGTCTCGGCTCTCGAGCCTTTCTTTTCTTTTTCTTTTTTATTTTATTTTTGACCATTCTTCTAAGTGAAGTAATTTAAAATATTCTTTTTTTTTTTTTTTTTTTTTTTTTTAAATAGAGACAGGGGTTTGCTCTTGCTTAGGCTGGTCTCAAACTCCTGAGCTGAAGCAATCCTTCTGACTTGGCCTCTCTGAGTGCTAGAATTACAGGCATGAGCCACCACACCCAGCCTACTCCAGCCTTTCTAGTGGAAGGCAAAGAAGAGGCTGTGAAGGTTGGGGATAGCCGATCTGCAGTCTGCCATGTATGTACCATTGATTTCCCTAGAGTGAGAGACTAAGAGGTGCAAGACTCAGTTATGAAAGTTAGTTTTACTCTGTTCTGTAGCCACAGACTGAATGCCTAACTCAGGCTAACCATCTCACCAATATGGGTAACAGATAAGAGCAGAGAAAGTACAGCACAAACTTCTTTCTTTCTTTTTAAAAATCTTTTGGCAGATGCTCTGGTGAATCGATAGTTTCATTTTCTTTTTTCCCCATTACTCTGCTACCCTTAGGAACCTACTCTAGTGTGTTAATGAATGCCATTCCAACTCTCATATATTTGGATATATATTTCTCTTTAAAACATAAGTATTTTGTACATATGTTTAATTTACGTAAATGGGATTGTAATATAAAGCTCATTGTTTCTTTTGTAACTCACATTATGTTTTTAAGATCCATCCATGGTGATCTATGTAAATTCGGTTTATTGCTTTTGACTGATGCATAGTTTTCCATGATGTGCATGTACTATATTGTCCATTCCCCTAATACTGGGGCTCAGGTTGTGTCCAGCTTCTTCCTGCTACAAACTGTGGCATGATGGACCTCTTAAGGGGGCTTGTGCAGAGTTCTCTGGGTTATCCTTCCAGGAACAGAATTGCTGAATTATAGGGCATATGTCCCCTTCATTTCCTAGTAAGCAACACTGGACAGCAGTCTCTTCAGAATAACTGCTGCGACAGCCATGAGCCTTAACAGCTTGCACAGCCCTCTGTACCCTTTGGCTGTGTCTTAGTCCGTTTTGTGTTGCTACAACAGGATACCTGAGGCTAGGCAATTTATAAAGAAGAGAGGTTTATTTATTTCAGGGTTCTGCCGGCTGGAAAGTTCAAGAGCATGGCCCTGGCTTCTGGTGAGAGCTTCTTTCCTGCATCATAACATGGTGGAGAAGGTCAAAGGGGAAGTGGATGCATGTGAAGAAGGAAAACCTGAGGGGCACCCTGGTTTTATAACAACCTGCTCTTCACGGGAACTGATCCATTTCTGCGAGAATTGATCTAGTCTTGCCAGAGCAAGAACTCACTGCTATAAGAATGGCACAAAGCCATTCATGGCATGGCGCCAACACCACCCACTAGGCCCCATCTTCTAACACCACCACTTGGGGGATCAAACTTAAACATGAGTTTTTGTGGGGACAAACAAACCCCATCCAATCTGTAGTAGGCATTGACCATGAGCCTCCCCCCATCACCACCACTGACCCAGGATAAGTCTCCCCTGGAAACACTTTCAAGTCAAAAGGTGTGGCAGTAGAGGGAAGTGTTAAAGGCACACAGCTGTAAACACTCTCTGTAGCCATCTTGTATGAGTAGCTGTGAACTGTGTCATTAAATGACTTACCAAGAGTCACAACGTGTAGATTCAAAACTGCCCCTCTATTAATCAGAACACAAGAAATGGGTTGGTGGGTCAGGAAGAACATTCTGGGCAGAGAGAACAGCATTATGCAAAGGCCCTGGGATGAGAGAGAATGAAATAATGGAAGGCCCTGACAGAAGCCACTGTAGCTGGAGCATAGGGGGAAGTTTTGGGAGGCGAGGCTGGGCAGATAGTCAGGGGAAAGACCAGCCTGGGCTGATACTTGTTTTGGATTTTACACTAAGTGTTAAGGGAGATCACTGAAGGGGTTGAAAGACCACTCTGGATCCTGGGTAGAGAACACTTTGAAAATGTCAGTAATAGAAGATTACTTAAGTTATTGCAGGAGTCTAGGTGAGAGTTGATGGTGGCCTGGACCAGAGTTATGGGGGAACAGGTGGAGAGAAGTGGATGGATTCCAAATATATTCTGGCAGTAGAATCATCGGTATTTGTAAATGAATTGGATGTTGAAGATGAAGAAGGTGTCAAGAATGGCTCCCAGGTTTCTGAAATGAACAGTTGGATAGATGGGATACCATTTCCTAAAGTGGAGACTAATGAGAGAGAAGCAAATTATAGGGGGAAGAGTAGGGGTTCTTTTTAAGCTATGTTAAATTTGAGACATCCAAATAGAGGTGGCAAATATGGGCATTCAAATAATATGGATCTACAGTTCAGAAGAGTTGTACTATAAAAAATCTGGAAGTAGGTGATATGTAAAGCTGTGGAAATTGATAAATTACTTAGGTAGTGAATGTACATGCAATGAGGAGAAATGAGGGCTTAGTGTGGAAACGGAGGATCTTCAACATTTAGAGGCTAAGTAATGGAGAGGAATCAGCAAATTAGAGTGAGCAGTGGCCAGACATGTAGAACATAGCACAGAGTGTGGTGTCACAGAGGCCAAGATTAGACTTCTGTAGGTCAAAAAGGTGTAGATCACTAGGGTCATTGGATTGGGCAACATGGAGGTCACTAAAGGCCTTTCTGATAGCAGTTCTTCTGGACCATTGAGCATGCAAGCCATTGAAATGGGTTGAAAACAAGGTACTTATATTTATGGCAATATTTGGGATTAATTAGCTTGAAAAACCTTCTATATAAAGTACCTGGAAATGCTAGATGAATAGAAAAAATCATTTTTAAATGCAAAGTTGAGTACCTAAGAAAATAAAGGAAATCCCTTGGGGTAAAAAAAGGGAGAGATACCTCAAAACCTCAGAATCGTAGCTGATTCTGAAACTATAATTGCCCTGGAAGCATTTGTCAATCTTGGCAACTGAGAAACTTAAGTTTAACAGCTACCCAAGAAGAGACAGACAGGCCTTGGGACCCTAAAAAGTAGGAAGTTGGAACTGAGAGCCTCCTTCCCCCAACACTGCCACCCCAATACAATTGGAATCCTCAAAGGGTGACATGTTGAGTGAAAAGATGGAATAGCAAGAATCTGCCAGGTAAAAGGAAATGACAAGAAAGTTGCCTTTTTTGGCCAGGTGCACTGGCTCACGTCTATAATCCTAGCACTCTGGGAGGCCAAGGTGGGAGGATTGCTTAAGGTCAGAGTTCAAGACCATCCTGAGCAAGAGCAAGACCCTGTCTCTACAAAATACAGAAAAAGTAGCTGGGCATGGTGGCACATGCCTGTGGTTCCTCTACTTGGGAGGCTGAGGCAGAAGTATTACTTGAGCCCAAGAATTTGAGGCTGCAGTGAGCTACAATGACACCACTGACTTCAGCTAGGGCACCAAAGTGAGACTCTGTCTCAAAAAAAAAAAAAAAATGTTTTCCTTGTGTTGGGCTTTGAGCGAGGAATACTAAAGACTCTTCCCTAGAATTTAAAACCACACATCCTGTCACATGTATTTGAGGTTCAAAATTACACCACCTATATGGTCTAGATAATCCTTGGATAAGAAATTAAATTATACTGCATTCAATTTGATAGTATATCAGGGCATCTGGTAAAAACAAAGCAAATCTTCTTTGGAAGGATACATTCTCTATACAGGCATCCCAAGCCCCACCTGAAATGAGCTCATAACCTCAAATTGCAAAACATGAGAGATAGTGCCACTCTAAATGAGTCAGAAAACAGACTATAGAACTAGATTCTGAAGGGCATTAGGAATTGGAATAATTGGATGGAATACTAAAGACGTCTGTTTAACATGGTTAAAGAAATAAAAGGTGGGGAAAACACCCATGAAAGAACAATGCCATCCAAAAAAGCAAGGAAGATTTGAAAAGACCAAGACTGCTTCTAGTAATAAAAATGTAAGTATTTAAGTGGACGCTTCAATGATGCTTAAACAGCAGACTAAACCTAAAAAGAGAATTAAAGAACTTGAAGGTAACCGGGTGCCACCCACAGAGAAAAATGGGTTAAGAGACATAGAAAACAGAATGAGAAGGTATATCACATGTCTAAATGAAGAGAATCAAGAGAATGCTGGGGAGAACATATTCCAGGATGTGTCTGAGAATCTTCTGGAGGTCATGAAATGAAAAGTGCGACTCTTCTGATTTGGGAATCACAGTGTATCATCATGTAAGAGTAATAAAAGAGAAACCTACCCCTGGACACACAGTAGTGGAATTGCAGGACAGTGAAGACAGATTTTTATAGCTGTCAAAAGGAAAACACAGATGAGCAGCAGTTTATCCTGAGGCAGAATTCTCAACAGGAGCCAGAGACACCAGAAGACAGCAGAATAGTGTCTTCAAAGCATGGCCAGACATAACTGTCCACCTAGAATGCAGACCTAGCTAAACCATCATCCATGAACCAGCTGCAGAAAGCAAGATGGGAGCCATTTCTAGATTTCTAAAGGATACACGTGAGGGTGAAGGAGGCCTGAGGATGCTTCAAGATGGATGTAGATCTGTGATGTCATAGGAAGTGGTGAGCAAAGAATGGGTAGAGCTGGGTAAATGTATAAAACAGGAATAATAACAGGGTTGAATTTTGCAGGTTAAAGGTCAGGGTGGGAAAGCCACCGTGCCAGCAGGAGAGGCTGCCAGTTCTGAACTCCCAGCTCCCATGAGGTCTTGCAGCGGCGGCTGCTGCGCAGGCGCCCGCGCGTGCGCGGTCCGTTCTAGAACGCTGCCGCCTAGGGGCCCCGGGCGCCATGTTGGGGCCGAGGGGAAGGAGAGGAAGTGCTTGAAGAGGGGGTGCAGAACGGGAGCGGGGTCGGACCAGGGCTGGTAGGAGCCCCGCCCCTCCCGCCTCAGCGGATCATGACCCGGGCGGTGGCCGCGGAGGTCGCGGTGGGGGGGGACGTTCCCTGGCGGGGCGGGCTCTGAAGATGATGCCGTTTCCGGTGACAACCCAGGGATCACAACAGACGGCGCCGCCACAGAAGCACTACGGCATCTCCTCCCCTATCAGTCTAGCGGCCCCCAAGGACACTGACTGTTCACTTACCCAGAAATTAATCGAAACCCTGAAGCCCTTTGGGGTGTTTGAAGAGGAAGAGGAACTGCAGCGCAGGATTTTAATTTTGGAAAAATTAAATAATCTGGTAAAGGAATGGATACGAGAAATCAGTGAAAGCAAGAGTCTTCCACAAGCCGTAGTTGAAAATGTTGGGGGAAAAATTTTTACATTTGGCTCTTACAGATTAGGAGTACATACAAAAGGTGCCGATATTGATGCGTTGTGCGTTGCACCAAGACATGTTGATCGAAGCGACTTTTTCACCTCATTCTATGATAAATTGAAACTACAGGAAGAAGTAAAAGATTTAAGGGCTGTTGAGGAGGCATTTGTACCAGTTATCAAACTGTGTTTTGATGGGATAGAGATTGATATTTTGTTTGCAAGATTAGCACTGCAGACTATTCCAGAAGATTTGGACCTAAGAGATGACAGTCTGCTTAAAAATTTAGATATTAGATGTATAAGAAGCCTTAATGGTTGCCGGGTAACTGATGAAATTTTACATCTAGTACCAAACATTGACAACTTCAGGTTAACACTGAGAGCCATCAAATTGTGGGCCAAATGCCACAATATCTATTCCAATATATTAGGTTTCCTTGGAGGTGTTTCCTGGGCTATGCTAGTAGCGAGAACTTGTCAGCTTTATCCAAATGCAGTAGCGTCAACTCTTGTACGTAAATTTTTCTTGGTATTTTCTGAATGGGAATGGCCGAATCCAGTGTTACTGAAAGAGCCTGAAGAACGGAATCTTAATTTGCCTGTATGGGACCCAAGAGTAAATCCCAGTGATAGGTATCATCTTATGCCTATAATTACACCAGCATATCCACAGCAGAACTCCACATACAATGTGTCTGTTTCAACCAGGATGGTCATGATTGAGGAGTTTAAACAAGGGCTTGCTATCACACATGAAATTTTGCTGAGTAAGGCAGAGTGGTCCAAACTTTTTGAAGCTCCAAGCTTCTTTCAAAAGTACAAGCATTATATTGTACTTCTGGCAAGTGCACCAACAGAAAAACAACATCTAGAATGGGTAGGCTTGGTGGAATCAAAGATCCGAATCCTGGTTGGAAGCTTGGAGAAAAATGAATTTATTACACTGGCACATGTGAATCCCCAGTCATTTCCAGCACCCAAAGAAAATCCTGAGAAGGAAGAATTTCGTACAATGTGGGTAATTGGATTAGTGTTGAAAAAGCCAGAAAACTCTGAAATTCTCAGTATTGATCTCACCTATGATATTCAGTCTTTCACAGATACAGTTTATAGGCAAGCGATAAATAGTAAGATGTTTGAGATGGATATGAAAATTGCTGCTATGCATTTAAGAAAAAAGGAACTTCATCAACTGTTGCCTAATCATGTGCTTCAGAAAAAGAAAACAAATTCAACAGAAGGTGTGAGATTGACAGCTTTGAATGACAGTGGCCTTGACTTGTCTGTAGACAATGAAAATAGCATTTCTGTACCTTCACCTACTAGCACTATGAAGATTGGCCCATTGACTGACAGCTCTCAGGGCAGAAACAGTCCTTCCCTGACTGTAATGGCAGCATCTGTGACCAACATACAGGCTACTGAAATTTCCTTGCAACAAGTGAATCCCAGTGAAAGCTTAAGGGTTGCATTGAGTGAAAGCGTTCCTCAAACTGCCTCACAACCTGCCACTTCACCACCACCAAAACCCACAGTCCCCATAGTAGTTTCTTCAACATGTCTGGTAAGCCATCCACCCAGACCTTCAGGAAACACAGCAACAAGCATACCTAATCCTATCATAGGAGTCTAGAGGACATTCTAATAAAGAAGAAGAAGAAGAAACAAACAAGAAAATCAAAATAGAAGAGGAAAACTCTATAAAGAGACAAATACAACTCTATTAGAAACAATTCAGACAGTGGCTTCTCTGTTGGCTTCTCAGGAAACATCCAGTACAGATCTTTCCAATATCCCTGTTCTTCTTGCAAATCCTATTCCTGTTATCAAGAATTCAATAAAACAGATTGAACGGATAAAAACAACCTCAAGGGTCCATAAACAATATCTGCCAACTCAACTGTTGTCTTCAAATACTAAAGAAGGAGAATGAAGGGTACCACATTAGATATGACTTGAAATAGTTGTAGGGTCACTTGGTAACTTTCTTTACTGGCACTAATCTCCATCAGAAGTCCAGATTAGTATGTGAATTAGAGGTACTATTGTTGATGTGTCAGTTTATCAATGTGTCAGCAACAGTTACATTAACTATTTCAAAGGACTACTGCCCTTGAAAAAACCCTCCCAGCTATATTTGTACCCATAATTGACATCTGGACTGGATTTAAGTTTGATGCATTGTTGGGAAAATTTGCAATACAAACTGGTATCAGAATTCCTTATACTGATGATGCACTTTATGTATATTTTTTATTAGAAAGTAGAACTAACTAGATTTTTCAACTTGATGAATTTAGTTTTTTTCCTGAAGAAGTTTCTTCATTATTAATCTTAAAATTGGATACCATTGTACAGTGATAACACTATACTTCAGAGAAAGCATAGAAGTACATTTAGTTCAGTCCCTGCAAAGTAGTTATAACCCTTTAGAATAAAATTCAACTTTGGGGTGTGTATTTGACATCAAGACAATAATTAGTCTTTGGTTTTGATGGGACCTGATCAAGAAATGATATTTATTTTATCTATAGAATGAGAGTATATAATCAGCAGTCATTTTCTTTGAGCTAACAAAGCTCCATATTCTCTTGTCCTCAATCATTTTTCCTAAAACAAAAAAGGCTTTTTGCCTTCCCCTCTTCTCTTGTATGAACAAGGTATGTTTGTATGTCATTTCATATAAAAACCCAGAATACTAGTATTTTCTAAACCATGATGTGAAACCCATACTCCTGTGGCTACATGGCACAAAACATCAAATTTTGGTTCCATGGATAATATTTTAATAAAACTTTACTAAACGTAAGGCCTGTGAAACATGTTACTGGCCTTAGATGGCCATTTGATCTCTACATATGAGAAATTTTGTAAATCCCACAGAATGCCTGCTTATAGGAAAGCTAATTTTGAATTTTAAACATGTAGGCAAAATAGCATTTTCTCCAAGAATTTTAAGCCAATTTTTATTTTTAAATTATCAAAATTCATCAGTGAATTTTACATATAGAAACATAAAAATAATTTCTAGTAAGCACTTGACATCTAGCCAATTTTCTATTCTTTTGCTTTATCCTACAAAAAAATTAGGAATACTTTACTTTAAATTTAAAAAACCCCTCATAATTAATCAGCAAAACATCCATGTTTATAGGAAACATGAGGGACAGCAGACACAGATGAATGAAAGGTTGGTCTTTCTTAATCTAGACACTGTGAACTTCACAGGCTTTCCAGTTAACCTGGTTCTGACCTCCCACCCCTCCCCAGCTGTGTTCCTTTCTACTATAAGTGCATTTTCATGTTAAACTGATTACTTAAACTCTTTTCCTATCCTTCTGGATTAATTTTCCAAAGTTGGAATATAGTCTTTTTTCCTTTTAGGATATGCAGTACTTGAGACTTTCTTTTCACTATCACTTTTTGATGTCTAGTGTACAATATTTTTGTTTCCCACATCTTTGCCCTGTGCAATCACCTTACCCTTTCACCACAATAATAAATCAGGTGAAGTGTGCGCCATGTTTGTGTATTTTGGATGTAGCTATAATGTAAGGTTGAAATTGCCGGGCACAAATTTAGTCTTGTCATTTTGTTTACGCATTGGAGAAAAAATTAGTTTATTAAACATTTCCTGTAATTGTACCTGCTTTACCAAGCTGGAAACTTGGGGCTTTTTATTTCTAATTTTTATTACCTATCAGACTTTTTTTTTCATATGATGTACATAGTGACTGGAGTTTGCTTTGTTTTATAGTATCTGTACTCCTTGTATTTTTAAGCACTATTTTGGAAACAGATGATGTATTTCTCCATTAAAAACACAATAAAAATAAATGGCAAACAAGCAAAGTGAAACTGAAATACTGGACAATAACATTTAAATCTGACAGAGTTCAGATGTACTGACATTGTTCAGAAGGAGGGTAGACACTAATGAAATTTTTGACTTTACTGAGTCTAGAATGCATGTTATATAATGTTTGAGGAAACAAGAAAATGTTAAAATTTCAAATCAATAAATGTAAAAAAGTGAAGTTAAGTGAATTAAATATCTTAATCTAAAAGAAAACAGGAAAGGAAGGGGGGAAAATCATAGAAAAAAATAGGATAAAAAGAAAATACAATCTATGGTTGCGGAAATGAAAGCAAATATATCTGTCACTACAACAAATGGACCAAACTTCCTGACTAAGAGATTGTCAGATTCCATGGGAAAACCAAGTCCAGTGGTATGCTGTTTCATTTATGAGAGACACATCCAAAGTGTAAAGACTTGAAAGAATGGAAAAAGGTTGTGCTAATGAAAAGAAGCGGGTACAATAACAGTATCATGCAAACAGATTTCAAAGCAAAAATAATTATTAGAGACAAAAGGGCCACTGCATTAGTGATAGAAGAAATAATGCACCAAGAAAACGGAACAATTTAAAACTTGTTTGCCCCTAATAAATTAGCCTCAACATAAAATAGCAAAGCAGATATAAACAGAAATTTCCAAATGTGTCATTATCATAGAAGATTTCAGAACAGCTCTTTCATTAATTGATATCACACAGGCAAAAAACAGAGGGAAACAGTTTTTAAATACAGTTTAGTGTAGTGGTTGGTGAGCTTTTTCTATTAAAGGCCCAGATAGTAAATATTTTCAGCTTCATGAGGCCATACGGTCCCTGTCACAACTACTTTGCCTGTGTAGAGTGAAAGCAGCCGCAGATAATACCTGAACAGATGGCCAGAGTGGATTTGTTATGGGCCCTGCTAGCCATTGTTTGCCATTAGTGATCTAGTGGAACCTTTATTATAGAATCTCCACCCAATAACTGGAAAATGCATATTATTCTTAAGTATTGGGAATGTGTAAAAATTAATCTCACGCTAGATTAGAAAGTAATATTCAATATATTTCAAAGTATCTGATCAATCAACATGTTTTCTGACTACAGAACAGTAAGATAGAAATCAACAATAAATAGCATGGAAAAGAGTTTCCTAAAGAAGAAACAAAAAGGCTCAAACCATAAAGGAAGAGATTGGTGTACAGTTAAGAGATTTTGTTCATTGAATAATGAACAGTGAAAAGGGAAAAGCTGAAAAAACAGGCCATGTACTTGGGGAAGATTTTGTAATACATAAAACCAACAAATGGGGTTACTATCCAGGATATATTAAGGATGGCCAAAAAAAAAAAAAAAAAACTATTTAAAAAGACCAAACAACCCAGTAAGAAATGAGCAAAAGAAAAAAGAGATTTTGTTCATTGAATAATGAACAGTGAAAAGGGAAAAGCTGAAAAAACAGGCCATGTACTTGGGGAAGATTTTGTAATACATAAAACCAACAAATGGGGTTACTATCCAGGATATATTAAGGATGGCCAAAAAAAAAAAAAAAAAAACTATTTAAAAAGACCAAACAACCCAGTAAGAAATGAGCAAAAGAAGTGCATAGGCAGTTCACAGATTATGAACTAGGAATGGTTGGTAAACATGAAAAGATGCTCAATCTCATTAGTAATAAGGAAAATACAAATTAAGCCAAGGAGGTTTTTTTTGTTTTTTTTTTTTTCTTTTTACAAAAATCAAGAAGGCTAATCACATCTAGGTTTGGTGAGGATGAGGAGTAGGAACTCTAACATGGTGCCAGCGAGTGCAAATTGTTTCGACCCCTTTGGGAAACAGTTTGGTCTTATCTAGTAAAGCTGATGTGGCCACATTCTGATTAGTCTATTCTTAGGTCTCCACCATCATGCTGTGGGGTGCTGATGTACTTCCAGTTACTGATCCCCTAATGGCCAGAAACTGTGGGTCTCTAGCCATGTCCAGGACTCCACACATCCTCTAGTCACTTCCAGTGGACCATTAAATACCTTAATTTTCTATATATACATAGTATGAGAGGCAGGAAGTACTTGGAGATGAGTACACAAGTGTTAATAGCAATGTTTTGTAGTAGCCTAGAAGTGCAAAACAGCCCACACAGCTATCAGTGGGGGAGTACCTACACCGTCCTGTAGTCGTGCAGTAAATACTATTGATATAAAGCTGTGAAATTAAACCATAGCTACTTGCATCAATATAGATGTGTCTCAGAATGTTGAGGAAAAAAGCAAATTGCAGAAAAATACATGGAGTGTGATACAATTAATACAAGATGTAAAAACAAGGTAGAGCTATATAACTTAGAGCTATAAAAATGTGTAGTATAACTAGTAAAAAATAAGAGAATGTTAAACACAGAATCCAGAATAGTGGCTCCTTTCGGCAGGGTGAGAGGTGGGAACAAGGGAGATATGCTTGGGAGAGCAGTAAGCTGGGAAATGGTCCATTTTTTTAGGTTGGGTGGTGGATGAAATGGTGTTCGTTTCATTATACATCTAAGTTATAAATGCTTTTATATGTGTGCAATATTTTATAATCAACCAATATCAAAGTGATATCTTAAAAACCTCTTTATCAACAACAAAGCAAACTCCCCCAAACAAAAACCAAAAACAACAAAAAAAGAAACACACTTCAGGGCTGGTAAGGTAGCTTTCTTGGTCACTGGGGACTTAGACTTCTTCTAGTTTTGGCCCCACCATTTTAGTTTATGCTTTCCATTCTCATGGTCACCCGAGGTGCAGGACAATTGTGGGGACCCCTGCTATCCCATTTTCACTCAAGGCAGGAAGAAAGAAGGAAAGGGGCTAAGGGCAAAGGTATCCCTGCAAGCCATGCCCTCTTTCTAGGGAGCTTTCCTAAAAGTCACAACAGCAGCATCCCCTCATCTGTCACTGACTGCAGCTTGGTCACATGGCCATGCCTACCTGCAAGGGAGCCTGGAAAATGTAGTTTTTATTAGCTGGGTACATTATCTCACCAATAGCATAGAGATTATGCTATTAAGAAGGAGGAGAGAATGGCTGTTCAAAGGCAATGTGATAACATTCTCGTTCACATATATTTAGAAGTTCAAAAACACTTCCAAATGACTTTCCACATGGCCCCCAGCATCTTCAGGTCAGCATTGGTACATCATATCACTCTTTTCTTGGAATATTTGACATCTTTTCTGATTTTATTTTATTCAATCGTTATTTATTCATTTAGCGATGGAGTCTCACTCTGTTGTCCAGGCTGCTGTGCAGTGGTGCAATCATAGCTTGCTGCAGCCTTGAACTCCTTAGCTCCAGCGGATCCTCCTGCCTTAGCCTCCCAGGTAGGTAGGACTCTAGGTACATGCCAC